GCAAATCTGACACAGGAATGCGAGTTTCCATCCAACTTTAAGTGGCAAGCAAATAACGGTAAAACAACTTATCAAACTCAAACAACTCAAAAGTCTGGAACAGGGCCAACATGTAGGAACCCCAGACTTTGTCAAGCCCTCCTCACCCTTTGGGCCTCATCACCCAAGGCTGGAAAGTGATCTTCAATTCCACACACCTGACCAGGGCACACAACAAGTGGAAGTTGTACGGGGTTTGATTTCCTCAACCCCCATGACAACATGTGACTTGCTGCATAGGCCTTGTTGAAACAATAAAGTAATTGACATGGATGGGATGGGCGGTTGGTCGTTTACAGTCATATGACATATGACTCTCATATGACTCACTACGACAATCGGATGTTGTGTGTGCACAGTATGGACAGAATATGGACATATTACAGTAGAAGAATTTAGAATAGGGTGTATATATATATATATATATTGGCGGCATAGGCTTAGGACATTGAATCCTACATACCATGCAATCAGGCAACCAGTGCTTTGTTTACTGTCTATTTGACAACTGCTATTTGTTATGTACTGTGATGCTCAAGTGGTGTTGCTGCCTGCACAATCAGTGTTCTGCAATCTCCAGTCTATAGTTCATCCTACTGTAATCCAATTGCCCTGCCCTACAGCTAGCGCCTCCTCCATCAGGGCCACCAATGGCTCTTTAAAGCCTGGGTGGGGCAAACACTCCGTCATGCTCAGGTCACTAGAATTGTAATGACTTGAGTGGGAGTCTGTGAGTGAAAAAAAACATTGTGAACAATAATTGATGGTCTGTAATACAGTAACTTAGCTGGCGTTGTTTCCTGTTGGGCCCAAGCAGTTTCTTCTCACCAAATATTTCACTTGCAGGTCACTGCCAGTATTGATATGTGACCCACCTGTCTCATGGTCACATGGTACAGTAAATTCGGTAACCAATTAAACTTAAGTGTTGTTGCTCCTTGCTGCCCCCCTAGAGAATGTGTTGTTAAGGCATGCGGCATGCAGCCACAAACTAATGGCCCATGGAAAGAAACTCCTTGGAGTGGAAATGTAAAAGAAGTTTTTGTGAAACAAAGAAAAGTAGGAATTTGAAACACACATAAAATGTAGGAAGCAGCACCGGTGGTAGCAGGTTTTTTGGGGAACACGCCACCCATATGGGTGCTTTGGAGGGGTGGTATTTGGGGATTCACATTGTCTGGCCAAGCAGCGGATGTGCTTCACTCCAAGTTTGAAGGGACGGCTCTCTGGGCACTCAAGAGGGTTGAAATCTGCACCACGGGGCCGCAACCTTGTGTAAGGTTGGCAGGGTGGGCCCCAAACATAGCAATCCTGAGCTCAGAGCTCCAATCCCATGTTCTTGAATTGTTGACTCTTGGCATTGTGATCCAAAAAAGACTATGAAACTTGGGGGTCTCGGTCTCAGATTCAAAAAATGATTGTTTGGTGTGGTGATCAAAGAATCTGGATCAGGGCTTGGGGTTGACAAGTTTGTTACACCTGCAAAGAAAGACTGACACAGCTTTAAAGCCAGGCAATCTTCAAACCATTCACTCTTCTATTTCCCCACACTCTCAGCCATCTTCAGACCCAAGCCAAGTGTTTTCGTGGCCCTCCGTAATATCACAACCACTGTCCATATGAGAATCACAGTAACCACCAGCAAAGCAATGGTCCATGTTGGCAAACAAGTGGACAACTTAGATGGCACGGCAGTGTCACCAAGTGAGGTTGCCAGTCTTCTAAAAAACGTTCTGGTGCAATGAACACAATGCAAATGCAGTGCAGGAATGTAGTATTCAGTATCAGCACTAGTATACATTACAGTCACGAGTCACAGTCTATATAAACGTTGAATGAAGCATGCAGCATGCAGTGCATGCTTATGACCTTACCTTGGCTAATTGGAGCAAGGCACTGTTATGGTGAAAGTGGGCCTTGATGAATTTCCTCTTGGAAAAGCTAGCTTCTGAAGCGGCCAGTGTTTTGAACACCAGATTGCCAGAGGTGGCCCGCTGCAGCTGCTCCCTTAGCAAGAAAGGAGTGACAAGTTCAGCTTCACAAAAACACAAGTGCAGATGTACCTGTACCTGTCACTAGGTGAACATGTCATTTCATTCATACATAGGTTCATATTCATATTCATATTCGCATTCATAAATATGAAGACTGGATGAAGAGACAAAGGTTGAAAGTATGATGTGCTGAAACTTGAGGCACCACCACCAACAATCCAAAAAACGGGTTCAATTCCATGTCACATGCTTTTGCACAGCAGGGCCAAACAAACCTCTCTCTTACTTACTGTTGTCTCTGTAAATTGGACTGGTTGCAGTGCATAGGTTGCCGTCGCTGCCCCTGCACAATCTTCAACAAGGACCAACCTTGGGAGCAAAGGCAGTCAAGTCATAGCCCATGGTCCATGGTTACCAAAAAAGTAGGGACCTCCAGTGTGTGGGCCCCAACGGCAACAGCAAAACTGGACTTCTTCAAGCAAGCCCAGCCATTTCCAAAGCAAACCAGTGACTCTTGCATGTCTTGGAAAGCCCGCTCCAGAATGCCTTGGTCCAGGTGCAGGTAGTCCATGATATGGTGTGCCCAATCAAAGTAGGCTGGCTTGTTGATTTCTACTGGCCTTACATGATCAACACTGCGTCACATATCCAGCACCCCAACCAACAAGACCCACAAACAAACATAAAATACGTGTTTGAGTTTGTCTGTCATTCACAGTCATTGTGTTTGCACAATTTGTCTGGAAGTAGTATATACAGGTTTACAGGATAGAGAAACGGTACACACAGTATAGCCTGAACATGCAATGCGCAAGCAAGTCTGTTAGTGCAACATCATACTGTGTAACCTGTAACTGCAAGCAGCATGTTACTTTCCTTGCTTCACAACTGCAGGGAGAGAACAAGGGATGGGTGCTTGGATGGGCAGAAGGGACAAATGGACAAACAAATCAAGGGTGCATGGATGGATGGATGGATGGATGGATGGATGGTTTGGAAGTGTTTTTTCTTTGTCTGCCTGTGTGTCTACCACGACTATGACTATGACTATGACTCTGACTATCGTGACTTTATGACTTTACTCTACTCCATTGCTAAACCTGTAGAATTTCAGAATTGGTAACTAGTAACAACTACAGAACATGTCCGCTGTGCTCGTATGCCCTAATTTGTGTGTTAGCTAAATGATGTGGCTATATTTGGCCAAAGTCTAGATATGGCCCATGACCTATTGGTGGTGATTCTTGGTTGACCAATAATTGGTTCCCTTGATTGATTCTAACAGCTGCAACAAAACCCAGTACTGCATCCCAAACCGATACCATACCCTTTTCTCATGCAGTCCATCCATCTAGTTCCCAAAACATGAACTAAGCTGAGCTGCAGTGCTGGACCATAGAGGGGCACAACGTCGCTTGAGCCTGAGCCTTCCTCCGTTGCCCTTGCATCATCATCCCACTGGGGAATGTTCCAGTCATCATCCAACCAAATGATGTCAGCATCCATGGCGGACATCCTTACCCCTGCCTTCAGCTTTCAGTTCAGCAAACAAATGGCTACTTGCAGCAGCCTGGATCTCATGCTTTGAAGGACAGCATCCTGGTTCACAAGACTCTTTTCTATATGGTTGGGCCAAACAAATTGGCCCACGCAGGAGGAATCCTAGATTCGTGGTAGAACTTTTGAGTTTTGAACCCACACCAGGTCCCTTGATCTGTATATTATATATGTGCTGGCGCTGTTGCTGTATAGTCTGAGTCATAGGGTCATACAGTCATTGAGTCATACAGATACATAAAGTTTGTTGTGCACTAGTGGTTCCAGGAACAGTCATAAATGCATACAACTTTCTTTGCAAGTTGAACCTTGGGTGCGGATTTGCCAAGTACCTGTTACAGCCAGGCATAGTTGGTCGGTTTTAGAATCAGTTGCTATTGACATATTGTTTGCTGAATTGGCTAGAAGCATGAACTAGTTTCAGGTGGATTATGATGGAAAATGAAATAGTTTCTGCAGAATTATGGTAGAATATGAATTAGTTTCTGCAGGATTTAGGTTGAATATGAAATAGTTTCTGCATGATTTTGGTGGAATATGAAATAGTTTCTGCAGGATTGCAATGGAACACCAATTTGATATGAAATAGTTTCTGCTGGAACATTATTCAATATATGCAAAATATGAATTAGTCTCTGGAAATTAAGAAATAGTTCTAGGTCAATAGGAAATAGTTCTTACTAGGACCAGTAACTGTCACAGAAGCATCTCACAAAGAGGGCGACAAACCTCATAACACATCCGCATTAAAATCATTAAGGACATATATCCATTCAATTTAATGCCAATAAGATCAGGATCAGCCATTATGTTTATAACATGTGTCTAATTGCTAATTAAATCGCTGATTATGTGGATTATGTGGACCAAAGAACACAATACTGTAAATGAAGATGAGATAGAAAAACTGTAAGGATAAGATGTGAATTATAATTCCTATAAACAATAATACATTGGTTGTTTATTTGTTTTTTTTCCATGGTATGTTCTTGTTTGGTGTCTTCTTGATTAAAAATAGCCGAGATACAATGGGTTTGTCCCATTACCCGTAACAGTCATTGAACAAGGCCTTTACTAACCATCATCATCCACTGTTGCTGGTAATGGGGTAGGCCCAACAGATACATATAGACCCATATACAGACAGTGTCCACCGTAAAGATAGTGTCAATCAACCATTTCTCCAAACAGGGAACCTCTTCAAAAGCGCTTTCTAGAGGAACATTTGGGGTCCGCTATGTCTTCAAGTCATGTGACTTCGAAGAACGGCTCCAGCACCAGAAGCTGGAACAGAGGCACCTGTTGCCTCCTATGAGTATATCGGTTGGACAGGCTTCACATCCCAACGTTGGATTCTAGTAAAAAATAGGTCTTAAAGGACATCTCCAACGCAGGTTTCTGGTGTTCCAGGTTGGCACTTGTGCTCTCCTTCTACCACATCTTTATCCTGGACAGCGAGAACGAGAAGGGCCGTTTGCGAGACAAGCTTGCACGGGTTGAGGAGAAGAAGAAGCACGATGAGGCCATGTCAGCAGCGCCAAAAGACGTCCTGGTGTCGCCAACCGTTTGTGGAACATGGATTGCCAAGAATCGCACTCGCCCAAGCAGTTCATCCCCTTGTTGGGGCGGGATTTCAATACCATGTTTGAGTGGTGGTTTCAGATATTTTCACTTGGGATGATATGATGATTGACAACCCACTGACTAACAATTTAATTTTCCAAGTGAGCTGGGAAACCACCAGCCAGCTGTTCATTCGGCACTGAATAACCCTGTTGGCCAAGAGGGCCGTGGCTGCGTGGTGTAACGCATATGTAGTGCATATGTCGATTGTTATGTAAATAAATCATTGTGCGTCACTTGCTCGCTCTCTGAAATCATTGAGCTCGCATTGATCTACCAAGTGTTGACCTTTGGCAAAGGGCCTGCCCGTGGGGACTGATTGATTGGTCTCGTGCAAGGGGGGGAGATCAAAACGAAAAGTTAAACATAAATAAATAAAGACATATATATATATATATCATGCGCATGCATACACCAGACACACAAGTGTTCTAGTTCTACTTGATGACCGTTGGCGTGCAAAGATTGGCCAGGTTCCCTCGTCTAGCTAGAAACACGAGAAGTCACCAATTCCTGTTGCTTGCTGCATGCTGGAACCTCCGTCTCCTTTGATCACTTTCCCTGATCAAGTACAAGTGAGTTGCGATGGCACCACACCAAAGAAGCAAACGGCTGCAGTTTTGGAGTGGTTGAGATGGATCCGCAGAAACTCGAAATGAATCCCAAAAATGTTTGCTGACCTAATGATACTAATAAATTCAAGAACCCTGTACAGCTATGGGCGCCACGGGCCACCAAGCCTTGGAGAATTCTTCGGACTCCTCGTGGTCGGGCCATGCTTGTCCCACCATATCCCACCCATTCAGAACACCCCAAGGAGGTAGAAACCATCCAAGTACTGAAAGCACTGCAACATACTGCAACGTGGATCCCCTAAAAGACTAAGGGCTAAGGGCATGACGAAAGTCGAAAGCCCACTCTTCTCAGTTCCTTTTCAATTCGAACTTCAGGACTCTTGCTCAGACGCTTTGCGACGCTCCAAGGCGACACGTCTTTTTGCGACACGTGGGTGGATCGTCCACGCCAAGTTTCCCATGTCCAGCCCACCGAGTTCGCCCTGGTTGGATCAATCACTGTATGACCCATGGATCCCACGTCAATCAACAGAACAGGCAACGCTTTCGAAAAGTACTTGAACTTCGGCTCAGTTGAAAGAAAGGGTCAGATATGACCGCGTCGACTTCCTCCATCATATACGGGTATAGTAGGTACCTGTACAGACGATAAAACACGTCATCAGCTCATACCATGTATAATGCCAAGGTCATGCCTGAACATTCCGTTCTGATCTAAGGCAATGTTTGGCCATTCCAAACCAGCAAACACATTGGCCACTAAGTTCACAACGCCCAGAAGACTGAGAGGTGAATCGTCGTGGTCGGGTCGAGCTCGGTTGCCTAGGTGACAGGTGTGAGAAGAAAACGATAGAAACCGCTAGAAAACGTCATGAGCTGTCTAGATAGCGCCCCATTCAAGCGGTGGCAAGCTTGCTGATCATTGTTTTTTTTGAAGTTCATGTTGTCGGAGATCTTCATTTAGTGCCAGCAAGTAAGTAACAGAACACCCTATTCACCAAGTACCTCCTGGCAAATCTGAGATGGTGGGGTAGGTGTTAGGGAGTCCTAAAGTACCTTTTGAGGAGGTGTTTGGAGCCCTAGGGGTCGTATTGTCCTTCAACTCACATGGTGCGTTTAATTCCCCAAGCAGTTTACTGTTGGGGTTCTCTCTTAGGAAAAAAGAAGCCGGCCACAGTCTTTGGTCACGCCTGTGAACGCTGTGTCCGCCTGTTGTCTTCTTGCTGATTTTCTTGTCCTTTTCTTGTCCACCTGTTGTCCTCTTCCCCTTGTTGTCCTTCTGCTGGGAGCATATAGACATGACACCATGACACCGTGTGCGCACGATGCACCGTCCTCAAGCGCAATCAAAGGGTCCAATGCGAGAAAACAATTGCACACGCGCAGGCCTTGTGTGGTACCTAGAGGGACAGCGCCAGCCGGCAAGCGCGAAGACCGCAGTACAGCAGGATGGCCAGTCAGTGTGCACTACAAAGAAGCCGATGTCCCCTCCTTATCCTCCTGTTGTCAGATGTCCTCCTCTTCTCCTCTTGTCACAACTTTTTTTGGGCACTGTCCTCCTCATGTTCTATTCTTGTTGTCCTTGCATTGGCCGCGGCTGCCAGCCTATCTCCGGTCGTGCTCCCCATCCTTGTTTTGTTGATTTTCTTGTCCTCTCTTCTTCTTCCCCTCTTGTTCTCCTCTTGGCGAGCCCCCCCTCATATTGTCCTGTTGTCCTTTTGGCGTTGTCTGGTCACAGCTTGTCCTTCTTTTACCGACCTGGTGTGTTCGTGTTGCTTTCCTTCCCTCATCCTCATGTCCTCCTCTGGTCTTTCTGTTGCTGCTGCTGTCGGGCTGTTTACGTTGCTTTCCGAGGCAGTGGCTGGGTCTGTGGCCGCCCACCACAACTAAGCTGTTTGGGGTCTATGCTGTCTACGCTGGCATATTTTTGTACCGAATAAGAAGTAGAGCCTTGACCAAGAAGTAGAGCCTTGACCAACTCTCCCGGCCAACCACGACACGCTGCATCAGACTTCCCACCTTTCCACCCCCCTTGCGCCCCAGCCCTGGTCGTTTCGATCTGGCAGTCGCACCTCAGGCGACGGAGCAGCGCTGGGAGGAATTCAAGATGAAACGAAGGGCGGAAGCACTGCTGGGACTCAATCTGGAAGATCAAGAGGAGGCTGTTGCACTGCTCCACCGACCGACCGGTCGTCGAGCGCGAAAGTGATCGCTCGGAGCGACAGTCTGCGACGGGCGAGGGTGTGAGGCCACAATGCGTGGGTTGCGCGGTCGCGTCTTGCAGTTGCTTTGTGAGTTTGCAATCGGTGGAAGTCCAGGAGTTCTTCATGGTTTGGGGGTTTGCTGGAGAATTTGTGCTAGAACTGCTGGCTGTAGGTCAGTCCCCAAAATCGGAGAAAACCATGATGGGGTGAGGGACACACTGCACTGCTTGTTTGGCCCCTACCTTTTCGTGGCAGAGCCGATGAAGCCAGGAAAAGATCTACAGCCAAAGAGAGATGGAGGAACTCTACCAGAAGTGGATGCTTGGTGTAAAATGTGTGAAAGAGTTGCAGGTCCAAGGGTTAAAGATGGGGATGGCTGTTTTGACCTGGAAGTTAGGGGAAAAAAACACCTTGACCCAATCACACACTTGGCCCCATGGATCCCCATGGCCATTTGTTGACAGCTATTGAACTCTCACACGGAGAGAGACTAATATGTAAATATATTCAATACTATTTATATTATATATACATGCATCATCACACCCACAATAGAACCCCTATGATGCAGATTGGTGTGTCGACCACCTTTGGATCTTTGGTGGCAAACCGCGGTTCTTCACTTAATATTGATGCTAGGTAGGTTGTGCCGACCCGGTGCAATACCATATAAAAATTACTTGATTTCGTTCAGACTTTGTTTGACATTATATATTAATTCATTGGGCTATAAATAATGTTTTGATTGTCGTGCTCAGTGTTCTTTCATGTTGGAGCTCTTTGTGGGAACCCCCCTTCGCATGTCCAGTAATAAAAGCACTTGCATATGAATGCGCGTGGCATGCGCGAGCACACGTGATCCTTTCCTACTGTGTGTTGGGCCCCACGGGAGAGATAGACTGGCAAGTGCCGCGCAACTGTTCACCCGGATTCGCATGGAGTGAAATGGGATGGTTCGGGTACCGGCCTTGATCGGATTCTATAAAGGGGCTGCGCCTGAAACAGTGGAGAAGGCGGCTACGGCTAAGGACTGTGTCTAACAGCATGCCGCCAATACTGTGTCTAAAGATGCCTCCATCTACCATGCATTGCACTGTCGTGCGCTGAGTTTCTCTCAGTGGCATGTCGACACATCAGCAATTTCTGACGAGGAGTGAGAAATACGTGAATCCCTTGCTGGATGAGCTGGAGGAGCTCCGGAAGCAATTGGACATTCGCCCATCACCCTCCAAGAGGCGACCAGGGCATCCAACGGCCTCGTCGGGTGGACCAAGCATCGGTGAAAAGCCCCATTGAATCGGTTTGCAGCTAGACGAAGTTGCAGAGATACCGTGTACATATGTTAATATGCTCAACAACCCAGACATGCTTATAACAGATCCTTGGGTGTGGTTGCTCGTTCCTGCTGCTTCCGCAAAATCCAGTCCTGTTTTCCTCCAGCAGATTGAATATAAGGATACAAACAAATCCTCAAACGCAACGCAAAACATCTCCAAATTTAGAGGCCCCAAGATCTGGGAACTATGTGTTAGCCCTGCGGGATTTTGAGCTGGGGCCAGGCGTACCATGGGAGGCGAAGAAGCCAATTCGTCGCCCACAGGCAGTCAGCAGCTCAGCAACTAGGCTTCGGTGGCAGAGGGGAGGGTTGGGCCTGGCTGGCACAAAGATGTCAACACTAGATATCGCCACATGGCGCAACTTGGACGATGACCTGAGGCTGCCTGGCTGGCGGTGTGGCGGCCATGGGGAAGGGTGAAAACCATGGTGTCCGAATGTGTCCTGTCGATTATTCCCTTAATCCAATCCAATGCGAGTCCTTTCAAGTCTTGCCAGCCCTGTCATTCCCTTGCATCGACTCGGCATTGGACTCTCGAGTTCCTGTGGAGATTGCAAGCTGATTTTGACCACGATTTGGCCCCATTCGATCGGATTTACGATGGATTCTTAGACCTTGGGGCGCCCCTTGGGTTCCCCACAAATCCGCACCAACACGCTACGGTCCCGACCACGGATCCACGAGGCGAGCAGCGGATGCTGTGCGGCGCCTTGTTCGCTGCCTCCGAGCGCTCGCCGGAGCCCTTGGGCGACCTGCTGTGGCAGCTGGGCGATCGTTTGAAGGCGCGGAGAACGTGGAGATCTGGAGTGGTTGAGAAGTTGAAGCTGAAGGAAGAACAAGCAACGTGTTTGCTTGTTTCTTGGATTTAATTCCACATAATTCCACGGTTTCGTCGAAGCAAGACTTGATAATATGCGGAGTTGTCACCTGGTCACCTTGCAGATGTGGATCATTTTGGAAGCTGTTGACATTATAGTATAAGGTGCTTGGAATCACGGCTCGCAAGGTTCTCAAGATCACATCCCTTGAAAGTTATTGAAGCCTGCGCAGGCTGGAGAGAGCTACAAAGACATCGCCCTGGCGATTCAAGCCCTACCACATTTCAACCCCCACCTAGACGAAGACGCGCATTTGTTGGATCAAGAGGACTGGAGGGAGGTGAAGGGACGATGTTTGTTTGGACAGGGCAAGGGCGGAACACCCCCGCGTTCCACTCACTTCTGTGGATTTGCCTGGGTCCCAAACCTGAGTCTTTGACTGGGCAAAAGAACGGCGCGAAAGAAACGTCTGCTGCTTGGTGGTGCGGGCGCCCCAGCGTTTTTAGGGACGGGGAATTCAGATTGCCTGGTGAAGGGGCCCTGTTGACATGGTCAGACCGATAGCTAATACTAAGGCTAAGAGCACAATAGCCATGGTTGATACTGCAGACGAGCGTTGCCAACACGGGCTAGGAGCTTCGCTTGTTGCAGCAGGCAATGAAGGCTGGTTGTTGTTGATGCGCGGGTGGTTGGGCAGTGTAAGAACGGCATGTGGGATCAGATAGGCCCCTGTGTTTGAGAGGTGGCCAAGGGCCGGCCGGCCGGCCAGCTTTAGTCAATAGACTCCACTCCACTGCATTGTTTTCATGTTTTAAGTTTTAAATCTCGTTTTAGAAGGCCTTAGTCACTGATGGCATACACCCCAACATAGACAGAGAGGAATCAGGATTTGTTCAGAATGCTGACAGCTTCTTATTTTGGAGAGGAGGCTCCAGCCTCACACTCCCTATCACTATGCCTGCGAGACCCATTGCGAACCTTATTCCTTTTTCAGGGGGGCACGGGTCAGTCTGCAGTATTCGCCAACATCATTTCCATGTGCTTCTCACACTAAAGTTCATGAAACAAAAAGCATACCTTCAAAAAACACTGAATGGTTTTTCTCTTCGTCTTGTGGAACGGATAGCGCGACTACCAAGGCAGCCTCCACTGTGGCGTCTCCCTCGCTGGGTCAAGAGCTTCAACGCTTGGAGCGCCTAATTGGAGCCACGACTCGTGAGGAGCTGCCTGAGGTGGTGCAGGTGCTACCACCGAGGTTTCTCCGCGACTCAGCCGGTACGACGGTACGAGGAAAGGGCATGGATTGTGGGTAGTGATAAGGAAGTTTGGGGGGGGAAGTTGTGGAAATGTATCGGGAATACATCGAGACATCACGTGCAGTCTCATGAAATACCCATCCCATCCTTTTCATGAAATGCATCGGAAAGAATATGTGGGCACCTCTGGTTTGGCCCCAGCTGTTTGGACTCGTCCAATGCCGCCCTCCGTTTTCAACACCAAATTCAACAAGCAAACAAACCAAAAAGAGAGCAAACCAAACGAGCAAGCCAATGTCGAAATTCCATGTTCCTTTTGGGCGCGACCCAGATGGCAAAAAGCCCTGAAACAAGCCAACAGACCAGCGGCGCCTCCAGCGTCCTTCATCCCGAAAGGCTCACCCTTTCTCAAAGGCGCCGTGCACCACGGAGGACTGACACCGAGGATCACTGGAATGCCTAGTGATGCCCTGGTGTACTATGCGGATCCCACTGCGGATCCCGGCAAACAAGTCAATTTTTGCCGATGTGCGCACCCTGCTCAGGATGGGGTGTAGGTTCAGTGCCGCAGAGTTCATCGACGAGTCCCACAACACCCGACAGCCTGACGAAGGGAAAGCGCGCTGTGACATATTGTGGACAAGGTTGGCACATGCCCCCGCAATTTGTAACAACTACCTTGTGCATGGTCTTGTGACTAAGCTTGCCAGCAATTCGAGAGCCAGAGGCTATGGCCAAACAGGCCAAACCTCCCAGTTCTGGTGGTGAGAAGCTCTGTGGGCCTTTGGACCAGAGATTCTCGCAAAAGAAGCCTGTCAGACCCCAAAGATTCGGAGATGAGCTGACTGAGTCGTGCCTTTGCTTCAGTCCCAGACTGTCACGATGTTTCGGAGCCCCAAGCCAGTTTCTTGCACAAAAAAAGGGCCCATCATGAATAAAGAATGACAGAGGATGCGAATTCATCATACATAATCGAATGAATGACAAAACCAAATTGCAGCAGCAATTACCCCCCCGCAAGGTGTGACAGCTGCCGATCAGTTTTCTCACAGCTCGAGATGTGAGGGATCAGCCTCCCGTTTGGCCACCAGGAGTGTACTTGAACTACGAGGTTTGCAAGGTATATAGGTTGATTTCGCAATCTGGGGAAGTCCTTTTTAGATTACTTCCCAGATGCTCGGACCCAATGGAAACAACAAACAATAACAAACAACACTGCGACTTTTCTGATGCTCCAGATTTTGCTCTATATTCTGCTTTGCGATAACTCCCTCCATTTGCAGCATTCCTACGAACTCTAATTGAGCCAGGAATGACTTGAGCTTCAACATCTTGGCAGGATCTGTACAAAACGCCTGGGCTGCAGCCTTCACCACAGAAATCCACAGAATGAAGTCAAATAAATACGCTGCTTCCCACGTACTCCTTTTGCCTGGGAAAGTCGGTCAGAGACACGTCTCCAACTTGCTTTGCAACTTGCTTTGCTGCAAAGGTCCAAGGCTTGGCTTTGTCGGGTGCCTTTTCTGAAAACGTCTCCTGAAAGACAAACTCATGCTCATTGACTGTGTGGCCGTGTGTAGGAGTGTGTTCCAGCATGCTCCAGCAGTTCTAAAGAGCGCTAAAGAGGTCCCTATTGGAGGGTAGCGGTGCTATTATCCACTGACTTAGGGCCTTAGGGGCTGTCACCATAAAATCTGGGAAATCGCTGTTTTTCCCCACCTGTCAGGTGAGGGTTGTTAGATTTTATGTTACTGGTAGCTGCCTTGCTCCTCTCCTCTTCCTCCTCCTCCTCGTCCTCCTGGCCCTCCGCCTCCTCAACCGCGGGTGTCGCATGGCAGTGTTCCCCGCCGGACCTCAACTGCGAGTTGGCAGTTCGGAACAAGCTTAAGCAGCTCAACCAAGGGTTTGGACTGCTCGAACCTTTTCTGTTTGGCATTGGGCAGTTTTGTCTCGTGTATGGCATTGGTTGTTTTTCGCCCGGTCTTGAACCATTCTTTCAGGAGCCCAGCTTGTCTAGTCTAGTTGTAAACGTGTTCTTCAAACGGTCCAATCAGCAATCCCACTTAATAATATACATATATTATGTAAATATTTGTTTATTTATATATATATACACAAAAGTTTTCGTTACATACTTTTTGAACTACATAGTCACACGCCCAAATATAAAGAGAGCTGGCAAGTATGATTGTAAAAACGATTCAGCATGCTCTTCGTGCGTCATTGTAAACTGCACGGGGAAAATGGCCTGACAACATGTAGATGCAAAAACACATCAGAGGCTTTCCTCATGTCGGCTGCGCGTACTACTGGGAGCTGGAATTTGCAAAGCAAATGGGCGGACGCAAAACATGCAATTTGTTTCCAGTTTCAAAACAAAATCCATGATGATCACCACCAGTAACCGAGCCATGACTTGGAGCCAGTGGCCCATAACTTCCCCACAACCCTCCCGCTGCACTGGTTCGGACCTGGAGGCCTACTGAACCCTTGCCCACTGAAATGCCCCTTCAACTATCCCAAACATTGGAAAAGATACGGGAAATGAAACAAAATTGATACGTTTGTTCTTAGACAGTTTGTTTTGTATGTTGAACCTTTCCAACCCCACACACAAGTGGGTATAATGTCCAGCATAGGCAAAGACAAAGTGTGCATGGATTGTGGCAAGTGGATCCTACAGGAACAGTTGTTCCATTGCAGCCGCCACAAAAAATGACCGAATCATGTCCACAATGAGTTCTCCTTTAACCGTCGCTTCTTTGCCAGGCGCTCCAAGCCTTGGCCGCAGAGGCTGCAGTTTGCGCGCGCGAAAGCGGCGCGAAAGCTGCACGGCGCCGCTCAGTGGCGGTCAACACCTCGCAAGCCATGGTGCTCCCAAGCGCCCCCGCCGTGCCGGAAGCAGTGGCCGTCAGTGCGGCGTCGGCCGCGCGGAGGGAACGATGGGAGATGGGTGGAAAGGGTCGGAAGCATGACCAGGAAAAAGGAATATAGGTCAGGGCGGGCTGTCAGAATGCGCAAAGGGTTATGGTTGTGTTCATTTCCTTGGTTATTCTATTGTTGTCGGGGGCCTTGTCAATTATTGGTAGACGCACCCTTTGGAGCGGAGCAGGGCCACCGGTTGCCGCGCATGAATTCGGATTCCATGTGTTGAGGCACAGTGTTTTCCATCTCGTCAGGTGTTGGGTTCACTCTGTTCACTCTTGCGAGGCCCGGTATACCGGAGGTTGACATAATTAGCAGATTAAGCAGTATTAATATTACAGTACTAGCAAATACACAGGCCCAAACGCTTCAAAAACAGCGCTCAAACGGTGCAAAAGGTCTCATGATTGTTTTTGAGTGCCAGCATTGAAGAGTGACACAGTTTGCCATCCCCACCAAAAAAAAACTTTTACAAACTGCTGGCCCAAGGTATTTCTATATCATATATGTGTTCTGAAGGTTTGCAGTTGCAGTTGCCGTCATTCAGAGTCATTCATTCAAAATTGTTGAGCTGTTTGAGGACCCGGCCCATGATGCACTCACATCCCATTTGAGGGGGCTACGTGGTGCTATTGATAGGTTGCAGTGATTTGACCAAGTCAAACCTCAATTGACAACCACGTTCATTTTTGCTAGGATCATTTGTATTCCAGCATGAGTCTTCTAACACACTTTCCCAACAACTGGCATGAGCTTCCAAGTTCATACCTCTTATTCCACCTTTTCACCTCCCACCCCACGCTTCGATCCCGAACCACACCCCAAATGCTTTTCGGATGCAAAGCTCGGGTGGGAGCTTGGTTCCGTGGCATCAGGAGGACGCAGAGCACTGGCGCCGCGAGCTGGAGCGCCTGCGAGCGCAGCTGGAAGCAGAGCTGAAGGCCGCACGCGAGGAGGCCGAACGGCAACGGCTTCGAGCAGAAGAGCCTGGGAACGGTCAGAGCAAAGGTGGAAAAAAACGGGGGGTCGAAGTAATTGAGGGAAGAAAGATCAAGACATGCTGACATATGCTGTAGAAACAAGGACGCTACTAGTAGCTCCTGGCCCTGGCATCGCTACTAGGAACAAGGACGTTCCTAACATGTTCACTGGTTTAGGATCCCCATGCACGACGTGATACATTTTTAGCATGCTGCCACAATCACCTCCAATGAGCCATAGCACCCACCGGCACGCAGGTATGTGACATGTAGTTATAGGTATTTTTATAGTTATGTTGCTTGGATGGCTTATCGTCCATGTTGATTATTGATCGTGTTGTTTTTCATGTCAAGATTCTTTTTGCCTGGCGGGTTGGGCACTTGGAGAGAGTCAGTGCTGGAACGCGGATTGGGATGAATTGAATAGGTTTTTGAATTTCCCCGACAACCAGCCCCCATATTTCAACCAAACTTCCGTGATTTTCCGTGATTCCAACGTCGATGTTGCCCAAAGCGAGAGACCGCGACAAGACCTGCAACACCCAACAAGCCGCAGTCAATGTGAACCTCTACCAGTTACCAGCCCGTGCAAACCCTAACCCGCCTGGTTGGACCACGTCCACATCGGCCAGATCAGCTGAGGAAGCCTTGCGACGCTTGGAGGAGGAAGCCAAACGAGCCGATGGCCTCATGGAGGTCGGGGCCGGGTCGTCGGGGAAGAACACCGTGGGGGGCAACACGGCTTTCGATGCCACATCAAGTAGCCCGTGATTCCTCCGATATAATAGATCCAGAAGGTGAGAACAGGCCCTGGGCCAATCGTCAAATACCCGAGTTGATGGAGGTCGGTTGCGTTGGTTAGCGAAAGGCACCATGATGATCCATGATGACTTGTTTTCCATTAAAACAACATGTTGCTTCGGATTGGAAGGGATTGGAAGGTCGAGCAAACTTGGAAAGCAAACGGCTCGGCTTCAGAATGGTTTGCCCAGGCCAATATGTGTTGTTTCTAATTATATACCACTGCAGCATGGCTGCCCATTCGAGTGATTTACTCCGGGGTGAAAATTGATGGCTTGTCTTTTTTTGTTGCTTCATCTTCGAACTCCAGGGGGCAACACACTGTTGCGCCATCTGCAAGTCCAAAAACCCTGGAAAACTACCGCATTTATGGTCCAAGATCTCGCCATTTTGTCATTTTTTTATTTGCGTGTGGGGGCTTTATGTCAGGACCACAGATGGCGCGATGCCAATCAATGCATACAGTAGGCTTCAACTCTGCAAATCTCACCACTGATGCTGAAATGCTATACTGCATGAAGCAGAAGCGCAGGAAAGGAAAAGGGAAGGAGGAGAGGGAAGGGACAAATCCAGGAAAGAAAAAGGAAAGGGAAAGGACAAGGAACGCAAAGGGAAAGGACAAGGAACGGAAAGGGAAAGGAAAAGTGAAGGAAAGGCAAGAGAAGGAGAGGAGAGGAGAGGAGAGGAGAGGAGTGCAAAAGGAAAGGAAGGAAAAAGGAAGCAAACCAAAATGAGTTGCGCCATCTATTGGTCTATTGGTTCACGCATCTATTTTTTGGTCTATGAGTTGCGCCATCTATTGCCCCTATGTGAAAATAGATCAATGGAATAAAGGAAGGGAAAGGGAAAAGACGGGGAAAGGAACAGAGAGGGACAGGAGAAGTCAAGGAAAGGAAACAAAAGGAAAGGAGAGGGAAAGCACATGGACAGGAGAAGGAAAGGAATGGAAAGTGAAAAGGAGGAAAAGGAAAGTAGAGGAACAACAGGTGAACACAAAGGTACTATGAACCACCCCCTGGTTGAGCCATCCACCACTATGTAAAATCGGCCTGTTTTACATGAGGGTAGATGGCGCAACCCAATTTTTGACCATCATGCATTTGCCCCCGGAGTAAAGGATGTGCGCCATCTACTGCTTCAACATGATATTGCCCTGCATATCCTTCAGTGTCCAGATTCCTGAGCAGTCCTTGTGTTTGCTTGCCGCGTTCTTTTTTTTGGGATGGGAGAAACAGAGCTTTGGGATGCGCCATCTATAGATTTTGCAGCCCTAGTTTTCGTGATGTTTAATGATTTTTGTGCGACAGTTTTTTGTGCTTCCTAGCTCAAAGATGATTCAATTGACATGTGGTGTTGAGCCATCTATGGCTATGGTGGCTACCCCCCTGAGTTGCGCCAACAACTTTCACCCCGGTGTGAGTGATTAAACTTTCTGCCAGGAAATGAGGAAGAAGATGGAGCAAATGCAGGAGATGTTGCACTCAAAGGGCCTTGGCAAAGCCGTCGAAGCGGCACTAGCGGCAGCGGGACTCACCTCCTTTTGCCGCGGTCGTGATGTTTTTGAACGTTTGTATCGAGATGCCCTGCGGCGGATGAGGGTCTATGCTGAGAACCAGACGCTTGGTGATGTTTCGTCCGTTCAACATCAGTTCGGCTTGGATGGCTTGGGTATAATGTTTGTGATGCCACAATGCCAGGCCCACTTCAACAGAGAATGGCAGAGATTTATCGCCCGCCACATTGATAGAGAGGTAAAGAGCCGAGGGAGTGGTTTTCTCATGTTTTCTCAAATCTTCACCAGAAAGTCATTCCAGTGGTGCACAAGTCTACGCGCTTTCAAAGCAACACAACTTGCAAAGCCACATGCTTCAAATGAGGGTGACCAAAATTCAGCGCGCTGGTTGGGGTCAAACATCTGAAGGCCGGAAAACTGAAGATCAATTTTTGACACCTTCTTCCCCCCATACTTATAACAGCGATTTCAGCTTTTGTCAAGCACACAGACATCGATCCATCCATCCATCCATCCATCCATGCACGCATATACTATATGCATATGTTTGTCGAGGATGCGCACTGGCGCATGCAGCACCTGGCACCTGACACCACACCCCTCAGGCTGCGACTCTTGAAGATGTCGGGCAGCAGCTTCAACCAGGCGCTCCACCACCTAGCCGCACATCCCATGGCCGCTGTCGGGGCCGCCATGGACACCTAAATTTGGCATAGATTCCAACGTTCAACCTATTTGCATTCGGAAGAAGAAACTACTGTAACTTTTTTCGATGTTCTCATTTAGGGCATGTTTTCAAAAGCTGATAGCCAGATGGGTTTCTTTTTTCATCATTTTGCGTTATTTTTTCCGGAGACATGTTCATGAGTTGGAGATGAACCAAGGAACTCCACACCAGCAACTTCTCCTCCCTACAGGCCCTTCAGGACTGTGCTTCTGGCAGTGCGGTTTCTACTTCAACTGAGCCCCGCTCGGTTCCGCTGCCAAGCGCCCGGCGTGTGTCAAAGGTCCAGAAGATCAGGACCGTGGGAGATGATCCGAGCATGTATAAACGTGTGTTGACCCTGAGGCCCTGCCGTGGATGTGTGGAAATTGCTGAGCTTGTGGAAATCCAGATTTCGTTTTGGGTTGGGGGGGATTCATGAAAACAATATGAAACAGAGTATATATACATACAGTATATACATGAAGATTTTCAAAAACATACTGCGCCTTTGAAGAGCGCTCTAGGACCACCACATCCTTTGACTCGCGTCCTTCTTCGAGTCACAGCCTCTCCGGGCAGCGCGTCGGCCTTCACCGCAGCGCCACGGTGGGAACGCCCACGCACGGAGCTTGGACTTCTCCACTGCGGCAGACCTTGTTCCAGGGCCCTGACGAAGCTGCAACGGGCCCACCGTTGCGCCGACCCGGCACCGGCGGCCGGCGTGAACGACGTCGTGAGGAGGTGCCGGCGGAGGGCACCCGACCACGGAGTGGTCGAGCTAAGAGCTCGCCGGCGCTCACGGTCGCTTGGGCGCTGGTGTTTCAAATGCAAGAGGTCATAGCGGGCAGTTGGTAGAATAGTAGAAGACAAACCCCAGTGTTTCGCAGATTTTGGGTGGAGTCGTCTAAATACATCTATATCTCTACTTTAAGTGATGCAGAGAGCAATTCATATGATGGTTTGTTATGGTTTGTTTCAATGTGATGTTGGCATATCGCAGCAGGGTGAGCCCGCTTCAACCGCTTCGGACGGAGCACCGACCGGACCCGCGACCGAACGCCAAGGTGAGCCGCTTGTCGCTGTGAGCCGCTTGTGGCACGCGCTGTGGACCAAAGCAACTCGGTGTGAGCTTGGCATCCATGTAGTGCTGCTAAGTGTTCGATGCTTGGATTGTTTGTCGTATTGCAGGGTCCAATACCCCTTGAGGCCCTTCAGTTTTTCTTGGTCCTTCGGGTCCAGTTTGCAGAGTCTTTCTCCAATCGACGCTGTGATTTGGTGGAGACCTTTTGAAGACGTGGCCCGCGGCCGGAATGGGCCGCAAGGTCCAGACGAGTCTGTGCGGCCAGGTGCGAAGAGAGGCACTATGAACAGCAAACGCATACATATTGATTCATTAAACCCTTCCGGCCTGCTTTCTTTTTTGGGGGCTCCAATTGATATATATATATTTTTTTAATTTATATTTATGATATATATGTGTGTATTCCAACCACCTTCCAAAAAACGCGTTTGTCACGGTCTTGATCACAATCCTCAAGCTGGTAGCATTGTACCGTACTTCTCCGCCGCTCGTTGCACTGGACTTCCAACACAACAGACATCGTAGGAGAAAGCTTGGCGATTTGTCCAGCAACCCAGCAGATGTAGAAAGATCATGATCATGACATTAAACGAGCCTGGAGATCCCCCAAACAGACAGAAACAACTCTCAACGCATGGTCCATCACGAGCTTGTTGATGTTCAATCCATGTTCACGTTCATTCATTTTGGATAATGGGGTTTCTATGAACAACCTTTTCGTGTTGTGTGCAATCTAATTTTCAATCACGTTCAACCCTTTCTTGTTGAGGTACACGTAATTAGGGATCAGAACAATCCCAGGAAGTTCTCGTTTGAAGTTTTTGATTTTGAGAAACTCAAGTCTTTGGTTTGCTAGAATAGAACGGCTGAAATGTGAAATGTGTTGTCAAAGCTGGGTGTCAACTTCTAAATTCACCCAGCAGCGCCTCAGGTGGCACCCAAGCAACCAAGCACAGTGAACTGATAAGATGTGGTAAGACCATTTATTAATAGACCTGTGAGTGATTGCATGTTGCCCCCCCGACCCTACATGTTTGCTTCCTCCATTTTCCTGACAAATAACAAGCACGTCCAGCAGCCTTTTGGGTATTGTTCTTCGTCGCGTGGGGGCTGGTCGACTGCCAAGTATGTTGAGCATGTCGGAGATATGCTTCAAAACTTCGTAAAAATGACAGCCAGCCTCTCAAGCATGAAAGCTTGAGGGATCACGGAAGTCGCCCCAAAGTGGGCGATGTTTGTCCCACACAGACACATCCAAAGAATCACGCAAATCAAAGCATTAGATTAAACCATGCAACAGATGGGATGAACCCCTTGCAGGATGAGTGTTGCGGCAAACAACGTAGCTAGGAACCTGTGAACATGAACGCAGGTAAGCTTGGCGGCAGTGGACTGACCAAAAGATCTTTTTGCGTAGGTCATCATGACAGGAAACACCCTTCAACATGTGTGACATTTTTTGTATACATAAATAGGTACTATATAAATAAATAAATATATATATATATATATTATGTACGCATGTACAGCATACAGCTGATGTTCTTGGTGCTCCTCGTAGCGTCGGCCCACTTGGTCTATAGAGTTTGGTCCCCCGCTTCCCTGAGGTCATTCTTTGGCCAACCGTACAAATCATTTTTAACTACCCATCGCTGAATGCATTTGCAAGACTCGAGCATGGTCCTGGATCCAGCATCAGAAGCCTTATACAGATACACATAAACATGCTTGTACATAGTTGAGCTTCAGCACCGCCAGCACCCAACAGAAATGAGCACGACAGTGCGTTGTAAATAGATGAGATACTCGTGTCTATTGTAAAATGTTTTGCAATATTACTAACTTAATTGTATACCGATATTCTCAGATGTTGAGTATCAATTCTGCACTAGCTCCTCCCCTGCACCAGTATGCATTGCATCCCGCACTCGGGTGTTTTTTATGTGTGCCCTTTGAGTCTCCCGATCGGTGCGCAGGCGAAGCAGTTCCAAGCTTCTCTGAGAGGGAATTGGTAGACCTGGCTGAAATGACTGAAATGCCCCGAGCAATTGGATGTGCTCTGCAGGAGTGGGATCAGGGGGGAACTCGGTACTAAGTTACTATGACCTCAGACCTCGGTTGGAGGAAAGAACATTCAGTTGGTTCCACTTGCACTTTTTTTGCACGGACAGGCATCCCGGCACACCATAGGAAGTTCAGGGGACCTATTAGCCTGCTTGAGATTCGTGATTCACAAGCTGGGACCTGGGATGTTTGTGGCATGTTGAGTATAGGAACGCGTGCATTTCAACCAACTGCCTTGGCTCGATTCTCCCGCCACCAACCACCACACAAGAACCGTCCGAGAAGGAACGGTTGAAAGGACGACTAAGAACGGAAGCTGGACAATGGTTGATACTTACTCCACACGGCCTATTGTTACTCCCATCCGAGTGAACCTCCACACCAATTGTTGAAATGGACAATTAACCTGTTGGATCAGTCTCTCCACAGCCACGATTCCACTTCACACCATATCACACCACGCAGCGGCTGGCGGAGACTGAGCGGGCGCAGCTGATCAGCGATCAGAGAAAGAGGGTTTGTTGACGAAGGAACTTGGGAGGGCATCGGTCGAGTCGAGGTATGTGCCACAAGGTAGGGGGTGTTTCGTTTGGGAACAGGCTAGCGGCTAGCAAAAACTTGAAGAACGGACCGTTTTGTGCAAAGCTGTGACGTTTAGATTTATCCCACACACTCCGGTTGTATGGAAGATAGAGGTGGATTGACTGCTAGGAGCCGCGACTCGCAACAAAGCCTCTCTACCAGAATAGCTTTACATGTCCATATCCGGGGGATGCATTACTCAAGTCTACTCTTCCACTGTGTGGCGTTTGTTTGAGCCCAAAGAGGGCCGACCCGGCCTGGCCCGGACCAAAATCTCAAAGGCTATACGTAAACCACCTAATACAGATATATATATCATGGCCACCTTTGGATTCTTTTTCATGCCTGGGAGGTCTTGGAGGGGGAGTTCAGCGGCCCAAATCACGGACCCTGACCCACACCTTTCTGAACATGCCAGGGATGGCCGTGTCATTGGATTGATCGGCGTGGGTCAGGACAGATCCTGACCGAATCAGACGGATTTTGGTGGTATTTTTTCCATCGAAGCGATGAAGAACTCGACAATTTCCGGCTTTCAGGAGTCTGTTTCAGGAGTCTTTTTGGTGCAGGTGTGTCCAAGGCCCTTCCGGATTTCGGAGTTTATGACAAAACAGACCACGGAGTTTATGAAGATGGGGTGCCACCTGGCGGTTTGGCTTCGCAGTTGATTCCACCGGAAGACCCGATCGACAAGGTGGTGTTTCTTTTGGGGGCACTGGGGGGCAGCGGTCGAGTAACAGGTCCTCAGGTCCCCAGACAGAAAGACATATGGTGCATTAGCTTCAGAGTAGCCATCTTCTATATATATACGACCGCTCGGATGGCTCCTTTCCTTGTCGACCGTGTTCGATCGCGGACTCGCCGCACGATCGGTGTGGGGAGACTCGAAGCCCTTCGGCATCGGTCGCCGTCAGTCTGTGGATCTTCCAAATGACTGCTTCCTGGTGACAGGTGTCCAGACCTGTTCGGCTCCCACCACCTGTTGCAGGGTTCTGGAGGGTTCGGAAGTTCTGGTCCAGAATTTTGGGAGGCTTGACCCTTTTTTAGGCAGAATCCTGGTCTCAACCCTGCCAAAGGCAGAAAAGGAAGAATACCTTCTGAGCCAAGGATGCAAGAAGAACACCTTGTGAGCAAATGCACAAATGATGCAAGAAGAACACCTTCTGAGCAAAGGATGCTTAGTGATGTAGAAATGTAATGAAATGTACGTAGAAGAAAAAACACCCTTTTTAGGGTCTCCGTGCTGGTGCCCTTTTTGGAGTCGGATAGCCCCTTTGGCCGCAGAGGGCCCTAGCTTCTCAAACATGACCCCTGATGCCCCCACACATGTCCAAACCGTATGATCACTCTCCTAGTGAGTGCCAGGAACAACCGGGGGGCGGTTCCATGCGGTTCCTTCTATTGACATTACTGGCCTGGTTCCGAATCAATGGAATCAATGGCTTTTCGACCTGCTGGCTCTTCAACTAAACCTCCTAGCCGCTAGCCCATACCGGAGCGGTCTGGCTCAACTGGACTATCGTCTTTTTCAGAAAACGCAGGACATCACCGACGTCACAAAGCAGAAGCAGGAGGATCGTGCAAAAGGAAGACCGGACAAGAATCTTTTGGTTTGGCCATCCGACCTTTCCTTTCTTTCCAATCATAATCAATGACCAGAGGGTGTTTGGAGGAGACTTTGGGCTCTTCGAAGACCACGGCCAAAGAGGACTCGACGCCCAAAGGTTAACTTTCTGAAATCAATTAGGGTGCGCACACGACTTTCTTTTGGAAGGCCAAATCGCCCTTTTGTGGAGGACCACCGGTGAACGCAAGATCCCAAACCAACCGAGATCTCACGCGTTTCGCCATCGTGGTCACGCGTTTCACGTGTGCACATGAGACATTGTGTTTCACACGTGCGGTGTCACTCGCCAGGCGGTCCTGCAGGCCGCGGAGTTTCAGAACATCATTCATTCGGTTGGGGCGCCCGGTCGCAATGAGAACGAGCTGAGGCGGGGAACCAACCCTTTGTTCGGTGTTCTGTCTCTCAGCCTCTCAGCAGTACACATTCCATGTGTGGCACAATTACCGATGGTTCCAGGGGGCAATGTATATATATATATATTATATATATATATTTACTTATTTATGAAATTATATACATATGTTGTTTATTGTTCTTATTTTATATTATGTTCATATATGTGTGGAGTGTTTGGGTCTATACACTGCTGCATTATAAGGACATAATAATATAACAACAAAAACCAGAACTAAAAGCAAACAAACAAAAAAAAAACACGAACAATCCCCTGAGGTTTGGATCAGTGTTCTTGGACCTAGCTCCGAGAATGTCTCCATCTTTTTTCAGAAGCATTCCTGATGATGCCATAATTTCCACTAACACCGATGCCTGCACTGAGATTCGAGGTCATCAAGCCTAGACTTAAACTCCAAAAGCGCATCTATGCCACCTTCAGGTCAGCAGTTGCTCTCCTAGTAACTTTGCTCTCCTGTTTTCTCCATGTTTGATCCTGCCCCCCCCGCTCCATCATGAAATCCTTGGCGAGCCCAGCGCATCGCCTCTCAGCATCTCTCAGCCATATACTGACCTTTGACACGGATATTGAACGGGCTTTCCAGCGGTTTCATCATATTTGATTCTATTGGTAGGTGCTTTGGCATTAAAAGCTTATGTATATTCTTCTTGTACAGATAATTGGTCAAACGTATAGAAACTTTGGATGATGATTCCACCTTTATATTATTGTTGGTTATGTATTCATTTGTTCTATCTTCAGGAACTTTTTCAGCCATATTAAAATCTTTGAATCCATCTCTTATGTTCAATCTAGGTCTCTCTTCATATTATCCAAAGACAAGATGTCGTGAACGCCGAGGCTGGTGTTCCCATCATCGAGTTGGACAAGCACAGCTGTATCACACAGCAAATTGGATGGCAACATTGGATGGGAAAGGAATATATATATATACACACACATAAAGCGTCATTTACTATAACATGATGGATTTGTGCAGGATTTCATTTTTGTTGATGTTTGTTTGTTCCGTAGCCGCATCACAGAGAAAGAGAAGGGGTGCCCTTCTAGTGGGGACAGAAGCAAGTACCATAAGTCTTTGTACAACAAGATGCAACAAGATTTAGATTACTGTAATGTTAATTCTAATTCTTTTTGTTTCTTGTTTCTAGTAGCAAACATTGTTCCTAGTAGTACGGCCAGGAGCCCCTAGTAGCGCCCTTGCTCCTAGTAGCGATGCCCTTTGCTCCTACCCCCTTCAAGATCCAAAGGCATGTTGCTCAGGTGGCATCCCGTTCCCATCCGCGTTCCCGGTGTGTGTCCCACAGGTGGAACGCGCGCATCGCCGAGCTCACTGGCATACCACGTGAACAAGTGCTTGGCAAGGAGAACGCGACCAGTGGTGTAGAGCAATTCAAGTGAACGTGGGTTTGGAATGTCCTTGAACATGGGCTCAGGCTGGTGCAGGTACTTGTTGTATGTGTTCTGAGTTGCTGGAAAGCGTTCAAGGATGACACTATGCAAATATAATCAAATATATAATATATATATATAGTATATTAAATATTGTTCTATTATCATGTAGAGACACGGCATTTTTGTTCGGATCCCTTGTGCTGAAAGGTGTTCCTACTCGACGTCCCAGGAGTTGTTGAGTGTCGTCTTGGAGAGCTGCGCGGCGGAGGTGCGCATTGCCGCGCAGTCCTCCCAAAAAGAGTTGATTCATTCAGTTTATATAATCATTTGTCTTTTTAAATACAAACTATAGGAACATATAGTTGACTCCAGTCCCCTCTCTCCAGTTCAGTTCATCAGTTCATCACTAGAATAAGACCCCTTGCAGGGTCCCTGCCTCAAATTCAATGTCCCAACCCCGTGTTCCACCCTTCTGAAGTGCCATCCACCAAAAGGGAGCTGTGAGTTCTTCAGCTCATCACACCTGTTCAGTTGGCTAGGGGGTGAGTTCTTCAGCTCATCACACCTGTTCAGTTGGCTACGGGGTGGTTCTGACATGTGTTGACCCATGACCTTTGATTTGTTCACAGGGAGGTTCGAAGCAAGGAGTTTCTTCCACTTCTGCCTTTGTCACAGCTGTTTGGCCCAAAACGTGGCGCAGCACGAGAAACAAACCATGCCCAGCGCACTGCCACTTGGCGCGGTTTCGTGGGCATGACCTGAGGTCCTCTTGGGGTGCTCTGGGGCTGGTAGGCATGAGCAAGCAAATTTGTTTCACCTTTAGGAGCTTTCCTTCACAAGCAAACTGTGATCGAGCGCGGGTGCAGTTAAACGCACATATAGCTGCTGAAAAGGGAACTCCCATCATCAGGCGGCGCATTCGACCGATCATAGAGATTTGTTGATTGGATCATAGATCCCCCAGGCCCCGGAAGCATCCTTTTTTTTGGGGATGCCGTCCTCAAGAATGCAATAAGATGTTCTTGATGTGTTTTCCTACTTTGACATGTGGCAACCTGTTCGACACCAATTTAGGACAGAAAAGATATTTTCACGACGGTGGTGGCTTGTAGCCCAAAGCCGATCTGTTGCACTTTGGGTGTGCAACTGGTGAAACAAGTGTTACACGTGTTACATCAATGTATATACGATTCCTTGGGGGTACATGGTGTGTACTATTTTCACATTCATTCTGGTTCGTGTTCGGGTTGCGCTTCGTCTTCGGGGGTTTGCCCCCCCAAGGAAAGCCCGGGCAGGGAAGCCCTCCGTGACGGAGATGAAGTCGCAGCTGGCTGGGCTGCGAAAGCCCTTAGCCAGTACCATGGAGGCTCCGTCGCCGTGACTGGTCGGTGCAGTTGGCTTTTTTGGGGGATCAACATCTCCAGACCCCACTGGAGTGTGGGGAGTGTGCAGGATCATAACAGAACCACAGGGGCTTGGGGATTGAAGATGTTTCAACGTTGTGCATCCGAACCACCATGACCAATGGACCTTTGATAGTAATAGATACAGATACTCGCTGACATTTAAAAAAAATATGGAGCATTTGTGAGGTGTTTTTCTTTGTATGTTGTGTTTGTTTGTCCACCTTCTTTCATCTCCTGATGAGCTTTCGGGGCGCCCTGTCGTCTAGTTCCGAACTTCCGAACATGCAGTTTTCAAAAGGATTGTTGACCACCAGTTGACCATTTCAATGTATATATTTCTGCCACCATCGTTTCCAGGAGTGCTTAAACTCCTTGCTGTGCCAGGGGTGTCCTCGATTGGCCCGCCCACTTGCCCGCCTACCATTGGTCCGCCAGGCGCTCTACTCCAAGTATCACCAGATTTGTCTCGCCGAGGATCCGCCACTCCAGGAGCCGGGTCCGCCACAGAAGGGATGGGATGAGGAGCCATCTGTATAAGAACCAGTGTGGACAAAATATTAACACCAAGACAATTCTTTGACATGTGTTATGTTGTTTTTGTTGGCAACTAGGGGTGGGCATGGTGAGATCATTCGCCACACATTGTTCGCCAGAATCGCAGGGGCAGTCAATGTAAATTCAGTTTTGGTTGACGTCCGCAAGGTGAGCGCTTGCACAAAGCCTATTATTACATGGTTTCCTTGTGTTTAAAGCCTCGTCCAAGGCCTGGAATTTTAATGGTGATGATTACTTTGGTGCCCTTGCCGGTCGGGTGGCGCCAGCCTGGCGCAAATGTGAAAGCGAGGAATTGCCGGTGAAGGAGGATGGCATCAACTGGAAAGCCTTGATCCTTAGTCTTCCCACACCTGAGAACACCAAGGCGGGGACGATCATGTGGTGGGACTCAAAACCACATCCGCCTGAAATTGGCCAACACCCTCAATAGTCAGTAGACGGTAGACTGGTAGACGGATCTGTTTAAATGTTTTTTCATGTTTTTTCACTTATGGTGTAGCAGGGTTCTTCCTAGTAGGCCAGCGAAGCAGGGTTCTTCCTAAGGCTGATTCTCAGAAACGCATTGCATAGCGTTTGGGCGTTCAGGGAGGTTGAAGTCAATATAGGCCTCCTGTGACGTCCAAGACGGCTGCCGAGGGACAGCGAATTTTGAGCGGACTCCCAACAGTTCAAACTCATGTTTCTGTGCGGGTTCCTTTGAGACTCACAGTGTTCTGATTGTTCACCAACAACGCAGGGAGAAGGCAGAGAGACACTGTCCTAAGCCAACCGAGCAGCTGGGGATCTTCATATGTTGGAAGAGACAGTGCTGAACCTATGATATGCAACTGTTTGCCATCTCCGGGAAGAGACCGCACATGCATTCCTGAACAAGTATAAGACTGGACCGCACATGCATTCCCAGTCCACGAAGTTCCTCCGGACGCCCGAAACCGGGGCACTGAAGTTCCTTTGTAAACCATGGACCCCCGAGGGGGGGCGAGGGGAGTTCCTACCGTTATTTCTGGGTGATGGTTGAAGAACAATCACTTCGTGAGTGTCACCGTCGACTACGACAGGTCTTAGGCTGCGGTATCCGTCGGGTGCTCTTCAAGCGCGCCGACTGCATCTACGATGGCATCTACCGCTTCCACGTCGAAAGGCATCGTTTTCATCAACTGGGTTCGTTCAGATGCACAAATTCCCCGTGTTGGACGGAGTATGTAGATCCTGGACCCTCCCCATGTTCCAAACAATCTTGTACCAACCAACGTTTTGACATGTTTTGACATACATATACATATATATATATAGGTTGGATTTCCACCAATTAATCAAACGAGTGCGATCCATAGGGATTCATGACTCGGCAGTGCATACGCAGAAGTTAGTTGAAAGCCAATCGCATCCATTGGAACCACCTGGAAACTCCAATAACCAGAAACAAATGGTTGCTCCACTGTGGCAATTGAGATTTGAGATTACACAGGAAGTGGGCTGGGGAAATATCCATTTGTTTCTGTTTGTTTTGGTTTCGTCCAAAGGCGCCGGAAAGGGTCAGCCACGTGCCGTTTTTTGTGTTGCATGCTTCGACCAAGATGCACAATGATACATCCATTGGTGGGAAATTGGTTGTCACTGGCATGTCATGACCTCTAGTCAAAACTCAGTTCAGAGTGAAAGCTTTGGCCCAACGATGTTCACACTTGTTTGTTCAGAAGCATGCCTCACTACGAGCAGGAAGAACTGCTAGCTACATCATGGGCAAATGATCCCTATTCCGCACGCATGGCAGCACGCCATAGATTGTGAGGTTGTTTTGTTTTGCTTGATATGCAGCACCTGTACGTTGTACGCATGTAAGATCATAATATAAGAACACACATATATATATATATATTAAGTGATTATCAATGCATTTTTGTGAGCTACTAAGGCTTTGCCACATGTCGAGACGAGGTTTTTTGTGGGAGGTTGAAATGGGGAACACTGTTTGTTTGCTGTTGCACGCCCATCAAGTCTCAGTTTGAAGGCTTTTGTTCCTCTCTAGGCTAGACCTTCCTTTGGCATGAGACAAATTGCACGCGTCCATACACCTAAATAAACGAGCAGAAAGAATGTTATCCAAGTTTTTTCTGCGCCCAAACCTGGTCCAGGATATGCATATATTTATATTAGAAATTCGTGCTGCCAACACAGTGCAAGAACAAAGGATAGATTTGGATGAATTGACTTGCATTTAAGATCATTTAAGGGGGTCAGACAGCTTGAAACTCAGTTAGCATACCAGATACCACTTCTGATTCCATAGCTCCAAGTTTGGCTGACTGACTCACCCCTTTCAAAGACAAACCCAGCTGGCTCGGAACTCAGCTAGCCTAAAAATTCAGCCAGCTCACCATTCGGCCATTTGGTTAGCTCACCACCTTGACCAACTCGCGGCGCAAATGCAAGCCTTGCACATCGTCCAACATCACAAGTCCGATCGTGCCACATCCCTTCCACATGACAGTCACACCCTATGTGCCAGTCATCCCACCAATGGCCCTATGACGACCAATGTGACGGACCTATGACGTCATCCCTTCCACATGACCCACCGCACGACTCGGTTGGCGGCCGTCTCCGAACAGGCGGGATCTCACGCAAGCAATGTTCGAGTTCCGGGACGCCTACGATGACCCCTACCACCACTACAAGGACCAAGACCACACCATCGTTGATGGGTTCTCTGAAAGAATGGGACAAAGGGCCCTAATGGATGTTTGATATATATATATATGGTTATGGGTTATAGTCACTAGAATGTCGGAACCGGCCTTTTGGCTGTGGGTTCGATGTGCATAGCACAGTTGTGCAGTGTTTTGAGTTGCTTTGATTGTACGGATTGTAATTGATTCTCACTAGCACCCCTTAACAACCAGCTGAAATTAATTGAAGATCATTGTTTTTTTTTCAAGTGGCCCTTTCAAAGTCCCGATTTTAACCACGGATTTTAAGCCAAGACCATGGTCCTGGAAGTGCGCGTTGTTTCTACACAAGTTGACATCGATGGCAGAACTCGATGTTGCCTGCGTGATGGATGTTCTGAGATTCGAAGACCTTGTAGCAGCTGTTCCAGCCAACTCTGGCAAATTGTCATGAAGCATATATGTAACATTATGAGTCATCCAACCAACACCATCAAGCACCCATTTCTACATGTTCATGTGCATTTTATTGTCAGTTTCCAGCAACAATTTCTTTCAGATAGTCTTTTCCCATTGGACAATTCTTGTTAAGTTCCACAAGTCGTAAAATACAAGAGATCCCTTGCATCGACGCTGCCCTCGGGCAATGTGCGGCAAGCACTCCAATGCACCACATGGGCAATGGTTAACATGTAACACCACCTCGTTGTCCAATGAGGTATTACAAATGAATTGTTGCTTCGCCACACAAGCGACTCCGTAGCTCTTCTTGATGAACGCATGCGTTATTCTCCTGTGTACTCCAGTGTACTCCCGTTCTTCTCATTGGCATGCGCCGGAATGCGCCGGGATGCGCCTGCTACTTGGGAAGCCCACCGTCAGGTGTCAGGCGTCAGTACCCGACCCCCGCAGCTTTTGCGTAGTTCGCAGGACAAGTCGTTTAAGGATGATGTGGACACTGCATTGCGTGCCGCCATTCTTCCTCACATCGTGCAATTCAAAGAGCTGCATTGCAAAGACAGTTGGGGGCCCAGAAAGCCGTGAGAACTTGGGAGAAGATTCGGGGTCCAACACCGAATATAGCTAGATCCAAGTAGACTCTACCAGGTACTTGGGGTGGGGTAGTACATCCTCAGCACCTTCTCAGCTAAAGTCCGGGGTCACACCAAAAAGTCTGTCAGGTTTTGATTTTTTTGATGAAGCATTTTTCTGACTGGGTTTCTTTGGGTAGTGTTAATAAGGAGTGGCTGCTCATGTTGGCACCTGGAGGAGTGGGGAAAACATCCGTTGTCAGGCTGTGAATATGGCAATGATCGACGCCAAGGATTCAATAAAAGGGAAGTGGTCCGCATGGAGGCACTTTTTTGCTGCTATCCATGAGCTCACCACATTAATCTCAGCCCATTGGACCCTCACGATGAATTGGAACACTTAGGAATGCCACTCGTGAAGCACTGGTAGGTCATGGATTTGTGAATGATGGGCCCATCATTGGGCGTGTAGTTGGCTACCGTAGTTTTTTTTTGGCTGCCCACAAATGACCGTAGTTTATCACTGCACGGTCATTGAGGGCCTATATGTGTGCTGTATAGAATTTTTTTTTTTGTTCCTTGATTTTTCCAAGCAGCTACTGATACTGGCCACCACAACACAATACAGAAAACACGACCTGCCTTGGAGATCCTGATGCTCATGTTTGGTTGAAAACAGCAGGTGGTTCCTTCTTTTGGAGCATCGTAGTTATATACTAGTATCAGGAAGTTCTTGGTGCTGAGGCTCACTGACAGAGGTTGCCATGGTGACAAGATGACTGAGGGTCAAAAAACAATTGCTGCCGTTGTTTGAAATTATTTTTCAATTTCTATCCTGTTGAATGATTGAACTGAAACCATCGAAGCCCTTCAAGAAGTCATAATGCATCACAATCGACAGGCTCCTCTAAGACATGAGTTTACCCACTATGGGGTACACTACTATGGGGTCATTTTTCTATGGCTAGGAACAGCATGTGTTGTTGGATTGCCCACAGCCACGTCAAAATGGCTTTAGGCTAGTCAGTGAATAACCAGATTAATATAGTATATGTATATAGTCAGGATTTTTCAGAATCCATGAGCATTTGTTTCCGGAAGCATGGTGAACTCAACAGGGTTCATGTTACATGAGAGTTTTAGTGTGCTTTTCTCCACCGTCAGGTTCTCTTGCCGGGTCTGTTTCCTTCACCAGGACCTGCAGTGTTGAACCATCCAACCCATTACAGAGTTGGGCCAAAAGCTCTCGGCACACTTGTTCCTCGCTGTAAGCTCGGGCCATGCCATGTACTTCCATGTCCTCCGAGTGTCCACGAGACCACGGGACTGCTCGATGACCACGGGAGGTGACTCCCACAGCCCATTGGACTGGTACCGAGGTCAGATGGAGTTGGTCTCACACATCTCAGGCATTGCACTGCCCTGGGAGAAAGCAGTGGCCGCTGGACAGTGAAAGGCCTCGGGAGAATTGGGTCACTGGGCCCATGAAATCTCATATGTATGGAACATTATGGAACTGGCCCCTCTGTTGGGGGTGTCTATCAATAGCCCCAAAAAGAGGTTAAGGGTTGTTCATTCACCACCCCCTGGGGGTTCTTGGGTCAGACTGGTTCAGACTATCTAGAGATGTTCGTCGTGACGCTTGGCTTTGCCATTGAACAATTCTGGTTGACATAAGTATGTGTTCAAAAGTTTGTTCTTTCTTTATTATCATTTCAGGTCTTTGCGTCAATGAATTGGTGAAAGGACAAAATCTTCAGTAAACCATGGTTTTCACCCCTAAATATGGGTTTCCTGTAGGTAGATTTTCTCTTAAACCAACTCTGGGACTACGGGTGCCACATTAATGCTTTGTTCAGTTCGGGAACTGCTGAAGCTAGATGTGCGGTGCGCATTTGTTTGCCATTCAGGGTTTGCCACGAGTGTCCTGGGCAAGTCAGCGCTAACCCCAAGCTCAGACAGACATAGACGTTGATTTTGTCTCAGAATCGCGGGGCTCCGACTCACCGCTTGGCTGCAGGTTCATCGATTGTAGCTAGTGATGGTGCTTGATGGTGCTTGGTCGTAGCCCTGAACCATCATGAACCCCATGGGAAGAACGTTCCAAAAGGAAGCATTGCCCGAATCGCCCCGTGGTCCTGCCGTCGCCTTTGCACCATCACCACCTTCTCAATCTGGAGCACGATGCGGTGAGCTTGTTACAGTTGAGGTCCAACATTTTCCAGTGACCTTTCGGGTTCTCTTGGACGCGTTTCTCAATGAGAACCAGATCGAGTTGGAAAGCATCAAGTTGGAATTCTGCCACTTGGCCAGCGCCTAGCATGTCAAGAGGCTTTGTTGAGTCCTAGGTCTTGACAAAACCAATGCCCCGTCCTTGGTCTTGATGCCACAGGCGTTTTGGGCCTTCAGATTTGGTGACCCTAAATGGGAAGACCCTTGCCATGTACAGATCCTGCAGCACAAGATGACAGTAAATCACACCCAAAGATCCCATACATGAAATATACTCCCTCCCGCTTCCGGTCACAGAAGCGGTTCCGGAAGAAGAAACGGAAGAAACGGGTGGAAGCGATCGGTTGCAGTCTCCACCTGAGACCCGTACATTGAAGAATCATTAGGAGCATATACTGTACTGTACTGGGGTGGTATAAACGTAACTGAAATAGACAATCATGAACACATACCTAGGTCATCCTAGAACTTTGCTTGTGGCACGTTCTGAACAAACAGCCTTTTACTGTCGTGCATGTGGTGTTGTACAGCTCAAACTTCGTCGAGCTGGCATCGGGGTCATTGGCATCATCTTAAAAACTCCTGACAAAAGCCGCTAGGTGTTAAGCATTTACAACCCGTGCATCAAATTCTTGCATGACCCAGACCAAGTTACAAGTGAAGAAACTGACGGTCAAACTTATGCAAACCATCGCAGGATCGCAGGCTATACATACTAGAAATCGGTGTGAGATGGCTTACTTTCGGTGTACATCCCCGTAAGCAGATTTTGGCAGACACGACATGGACGATGGACTGATTTGTTTGTGCTCATGTCCAGCCCACAAGTTATAGGTCAAACACTGTTTGGGATTGTCATGAGGGGTATCATGGAGGTCTTGGAAACTAAACACCTGTTGCACGCTGCTTTAAATGGATATGAATTAAACTATGTGTTTGATTCGATGCACACCAGCGCTAAGCTGGTGCTTGACACACAAGCGCTTGCGTTTTTTTTCGCGCGCCACAAGAGTGGCATTTGGGAGCCGTGTTCATGCGCATGGTTTGCCGACCCTTTGAGCGCATCGTTGGCCGGGGCAAGGGAGTGTGGCGCCCTTTTTTTTTGGTCCACAAGGTGGATCTACGTAGGTCGTCATTGATACATACCGATCGAAAGATCCCACAGACTGACCCTGATCACCGAGTTTGGGTTGGAATGTTTGGCATGCTCAAGAAGTCACCTGGTCCTCAAATAGATCTTGTGTGTCTTTGAACTTTTGAACCCCAAAACCATGGAAGGATTCATTTGATATGATACGAGAAGATATGTCGTAGACTGTTTGTTGCCCGTTGCCAGAATGGTTTTATATTTTCAGCCATCTCCATATCGAGGGTTTGATTATATAATCAAGAAGTCTATATATACATATACAGTATATACATCTACGTTGTACATTCTTGTGTTCGCTTGGGTGGAGAAGTCGTCATTTTCTGTGCCAAGGATGTGGACCCCACAAGGCACTCCATGACTCATCATGTCTCCGAACCAGCTCCTTCTTTAGTAGAACCGGAGGGGTCAGACTAAGGCGAAGACCACGGATACAAGCTGAAAGATCCAGTGCTTTTGGCGCCTTGCCATGAATGGTGAACCGTCCCATGGATCAAGGGTGAACCGTCCCATGGATTGGATGGTGAAGCGTCCCATGGATGGTGTCCATTCTGCAACAGCCATACTGATACTTCAAAGTGAGGATTCGTCTTCAGGCTTTCTGCACAGTATAGAGGCCCAAAAAACAGCATGGAATGAGACGGGGATTTCAGATGATTTCAGCAAAAGAACTGTCCGGTTTTGTATGCCAAATATGCTAAGAGATCTCAGATGGGATTTCGTTGCGTTGATTTGCCATGTGATGTTCAAAGGTCTTTGTGCATTCTTTTCAGGCCAGTAAACGCTTAGTAACTAGTAGTACGCTGAAACCCATGGAATGAGGGTTCCTTCTCTATTGGCAATCAAGTGCCGACTGTCAGTTCTTTCAATCCAGACTTTCTGGCAGAAGAGCACGAGACAGTCATCATCACCTGTAGACCCACCATTCTTTGTTTTGAAACCCAGGCCTCGCCTGGAATGTTTGATATGTGTTGAATGTACCCTTTCTGTGTTTGGAATCACGGGTTTGCATTTGCATGACCTGATTGCTTTTGCTCTTCAGCATGATGTTCCCATTTGAGTAATATATAATGGGGTAGGGGCAGAGCACCTGGGACTGCGACCTCGATTTGGTGGTATCGGAGTTGACCACTTCGAGTATTGAGATAGTCACGATGGAAACTCTAGAGTCGTTGAGGCTGTTCCAAGGTCCGGCAGGGTTGGCTTGGATAGTCGATTCGTGTTTGGAACTTGTTTGACTTCTTTTGAGTCCTTTTGCTGCTAACCTTTCGCCTTTCGAGATGACATTGTGTGCATTACTTTGTCAGGCTTCCCTGATACATATACACACATATATATATATATATTCAGATATATGTATATATAGAGGTGTTTAAAAATAGCTTGGGCAACCTTCTTCCTTCTTCCCAATACTGTTTGTCATTGTTGTTATTTTTACCAGTGTTGGTGTGCTTATTTTAACGGCTGCAGGTCAAAAAACTGACATATATCAGATGAACATATCCAGTTTCGGGAATATCTACCAGCTCCAGTCTGCACTCTCCAGTTGCTTACATCTTTTGCATTTGGCTGGTGACCCGGTCTTGGTAATCCGAGGACAAGTGGCGGCTTTTCCATCGGAGTCACGCGCAATACCGCAGCCGGGCAGAAGCGCGGTTTAACGCGAGTGTGCCGTGAAAGTGACCATGTTCCTCGTGCGACCACAGAACCAAAGGCGCTGTGGTTATGATGCTGATGCGCGGGGTTGCCGCTATAGAATTCGTCCATCAAGGCCACCTTCAGGGGGACTTTTCATTCCACGGGTTCATGAGCATGTCCTGTTTGAATATGTTTGATGCTTCAGAGTGCACGACGTCCACCGAATCTTGAGCAGTGAGGACCTGTCCTGACTTTTCCACATGCGGACGCCTCTATAGTTCTATCATGTTCTATTTGAACCCATGTTGGGAAAGTTCCGTCATTCATACGGCAGGCAAGTGGGGCGGGTAGGAATCGTTTCTCCAAAGTGTGCCATGGATTGGTCTGTCGCTATAATGGGTGATAATGACCTGCCTCCCAAGTGAAGGCACGCCTCTTCATGCAGAGAGGTTTCCACTCTCTTGATAAGAAGAATTATTCCAGGACCATCCAAGAGGTGTCTATAAATATCTATGTATCCCCTTAGTTAAGGTTATGATGCAAAACATAAAATAAGCATAAACGAGGCAAACAACATACACTGAAAGCGCAAAAACAAGTCACCAAGGAAAGCGTTGGAATGCAACAAAAGGCAAGCACAATGCGATAAAACCTAAATTGTCCACTCAAAAAGATGCACTGTCCTTTTGCGTTGTTTGCGTTGTGTTTGCATGTTTTGTGCATTTTTTGTACATGTCCTTGGAACAAAGCAAAAGCATGCGCAAAGAAAACAAAATAAAAATAACATTGCACAAGAAACACCCACATATCGCACACAAAACGCATTAAAGACAAATTTGGTGTGTGAAAGTGCGGGCGTGTTGTTTGTTTGTTTGTCTATGTTTTATGTGTTTTTCGGCATCCTTTTGCCGTTTTTGTGCTTTTTGATATGCACTATGTTTGACCAGCTGCCTTTTTGACTTTTTCATGCTTTTCTTTTGCATTTCTTGGTTAGGCTGTACGGCACATCATCAGGTTAAGGGGTGTCCCAAAACCACCTGTTGGAAGGTCCTGGTTTGGGCAATGTGCCTGGATCAAGAAAGTCCGACTCCTTTCGAACAGCATGTTTCTGGAGGCTTCTTTAGAGCCCCCCGGGCATCCACTCTCCACTACCAGTCATCACCCCGATGGAGGACAACTACCCCACACAGAACTATATGGCCATCAGCTAGAAAGATCAGAGTGGCTGTGGGATGCTATTGGCTATGGGCATTTGGCCCACAAGAAGCATGCCTTCGAAATAAATGCAGCAGAAACAGATGGGATGTTTACACCCCTTTACCCCTCAAAAAGAAGTACAATCCCATGGGCTGGGTTTAAACATGTTCAACACCTCAAACGGTTGCATCGTTGTGAGTCTAAGAGGGTGGAGAAGGTGATCATGAGTCTCGCCTATGCACGACCCTTCTCCATGCGTCGCCTTCATCCGTCCCCATTCGCCTTCTCCGTACGGCGATACGTCGCTGGATCCGCCGTCGCTTTCGCGATCGAACACGGATGGGGAACCCCCGGCGTCCGGCACGAGGCATCATCTCCACGGATGAAGCCATGGAGCAAGAGCACCTTTGACTTGCTTGTGACCTGCAACGGGCGAATTGACTGAGCGAGCTCGGTCGTTTGGATCTGAATGTGGATGTGGGGTGTCGATATGATGTAACACACGCGAGTTGAAGAAAGAATGACACGCGGCACGCGGCAATCCTGCTTAGATGAGGGTTTTGTGCAAGCGCTTTGGCGAACCAAGTCCAGTCGGTTGTTCGTTTTGATTTGCCAAGCAGCAAGTTCCATAGATTTTGTGATCTTGAGGCTCCAGGGTTCAAGTCGCCACTTTGCGCGCTGGGACCCATCATGTATAAGGTTTGTAGGTGTATATATATATATATATATAGGAGTGTGAGATGGGTCCTTGTGTGTATCGTTGGAAAACGCAGTGTGGAATTCACTCATGCCTGTGACAATTACAAGGACACAGAGTCAGATGTTATAAGTATAATTACTGATCTATTTATAATATACATATACAGATACTGTAATGATAAACCGTCACAAGCACGTTCGACACCTTCATGACCCAAATTAGCTCGTCACTGCAAACGCTGGCGACCCGAAAGCATCCAACTTTGGCCAAGACGTCATCCAGCTTCAGAACTCACGCCCGAACATTCTAAGAACCCATGGCGCGCCAGTGCAGCACACCCGCTGAGCATCGCCCCCGAGGCAGATTTTGAACCGACATCACCCCGGGCCCCTTGCTGTGTTTATTTTTGCTTGTGGGGGGGGTTGGGCACCAAGAAGAACCTTATGAATCCGACATATGATTGTGACGTTGATAGACTAGTTCTTGGAATCCAGTCAGACACAGGAGCGGCCACAAAGACAAACCTCAGAAACCTCCTCAAAACCTGCAAAAGCGGTCGAACATTGGATCGATGTTGCTGGGCCCTGGCCTTTTGGGGGTTCCTCCGGTCACCGGTGTCCTTCCTGTCACGGGGCCAGGCCGGTGAAAAGGCCAGTGAAGGCCGGTGTCAATACGGTTGGACCATGGGTTGATGAAGTGCAAAGGTGTTTAACGATTCTTTTTGTCGAGCCTGCTGAACCAAACTGAGACACGAACAAAGTAAAGCTGTTCAAACAGCATATAGGCTGTGTGGCTCTCCTGCTGTTTGATTCATTATTCGATGTCCCCCAATGGTCGTGGTTTCAATTGTCCTCTTAGCTGAAAAACGATGTTTTGGGTGCTCTTTTCACCAAAGCCAAACACAGTCGGAAGCCATGACGGGCCATTGAAGGATCTTGGCCATGCCATGCCGTTGACGGGGGGTCGCTGATGTGACCTTTGTTTCGGCTTCGTCTCACCCGACAACGACCATTAGAAGCACCTGCGCTCTCAGGGGTCCGAAGCAGGCAACGATCCCATGGAAGAATGGACATAGACCAGTCTACCCAGCCAGGGCCAGGAGGTCCCCCTTTTCTTATGCACAGCCAGTTGATGAATGGCGCCATCCAGTCATGATTCATTGGTTTGTGAAGCACAGGCATCCTTTCTTGCACCATGAGGCCGTGAGGCCTTTCTTGGGGCTGAAATAAAAGCAGCGAAGGACATCGTCGTTGTAGCCCTTGAGGTTAAGTCATTTGATTGGAGTTTACTGGTACTAATGTCAACAACATAATATGTGCTTGACAGTTGACCTGGCCCTTTGTTTCGATACCAATGCCAATGTTGATAGACAGAACAAGTAACCGTTTGAGTCGTCACTGAGTCACACACCGTACTATGCCGCACTAGTTGAAATGTTGTGCGCCCTTTCCGTCGGGAAATGTAGAATATTGGTTAACATCTACGTCATTCTAAGTCTATCATGTATCGTCAACATGTTTGTACGACATAGGGGCAGGCAACCTCCCACAACACCATCGATTATAAATATATGTTTCATGATGGGTTTTGTCCCTTCGACATGGGCCGGCAGATAGCATTTGACGTTCAGAGTTCATATAGGCCTTCTATCCATCCAATGCCATGCCATGCCCGTTTGGGCACATGAATTTGCTACATGGCAGGTGACAAAGCCTTTGACAGTGCTAATCCGGCACTGCTCTCGCTGATCTCTTTGCACCGTCTGTTGGTCTAAAGCTAAAACGGTTCATCGCGGCTCTTGCGCTGCTCAGGAGTGCTCAGGAGTGCAGTGGACCCGCCCTAGTTGAGATAAACCCTCAAGGTTCAGGAGATAAACCCTTAGTTTCGATAGACCTTTGGTGTGCGGGCCACTGTATGTGAAGAAGTTCAGACAACCCTAAATGCATAGATGCTTGAGTTTCAATTGATTTCGCTGGGAATTGCCTGTTGCAACAAACACGTGGTACTAAAGGTTTGGACATTTGGTTAGGTGTCCTAAAGAGCTGTTGAATCCCCATATGCTCAGGCTTTGCTGGTGTTTACCACATGGATCGTGGGGTCGTGTGGGGTCCAGACCTCTACACCCTCCTCAGGTCCGGGCAGCGGATTCCACAGCACGGCACCGGATTCAGGCTGCCAATGTTTGGGAGACATGACCTATGTGTGCAAGTAGTAAGTCCCTGTATGTTATAGCATGCCACGGTATAATTACCTACATTGGAATCATTGGAGTGGTTTTGGTTATTGGTCCATCAGCTCTACATTCCATAGAATGTCCTTTCCTGGTTTGCTTTGTATGTTGGATTTGTGTTCCAATACTGGTGTCAATCCACATGGTTGATATGTTGGATTTGTATAACATCCCATGGCCCAAGGCACCATGGGTCGTGTTTGAGGTACATGTGCTACGGATGCAGCCGCTGTGCAGGTGGCCCGTGTTTTGAAGGAAGCCATCGAAGAGGGGAAGTCCAAAGCAGACTTGGAGGCCAGGCCAAGTCCAGTGACTTGCACGTCAATTAAAAAAAAAGCGCCAAACAGATCCAAACAGGTTCCTATATATACGAGTTATGAGCATTGGCCGGCCCTTGTGTGTGCGCTTCGGGTGGCTTAGATCGCAAGAGTACGATCTGGCAAGGCAGCACGAGCCGTGGCTGCTATGACACCCTCTCAAAAATGCAAGTTCTCCCGGAAAACTGCATTGACGTCCAAAACGCCATCTGTGGTTTGCTATCACTCCTCGTGGTTTCCCATCACTGCTTCTGAGGTTCGGAGATGAAGGGTTTTGACATTGAAGGTCTTGGAAGACATGACAATTCAGTGCTCTTGGGAAGGGCAGGAAGGACATCTTCGTATGTTTGAGCTTTGAGACCTCATCCGCCTAACCCCATCTCCACAGATCAGTCAGACCTCCATCCAGATGGTCCGTTTGTCTTTGCTTGCAGGTCATGGTCGAGTCGAGGTACCAGGAGAAGCTGTATTAAGCTGTGCACGAACCGGAGTCCTTGGCACTTTTCATGGCGGTAAGGTAGATGTTGATCAAACACCACTACCATTTGGATTGTAAAACGAGCTTGGTTGGTCAACTCTCTGAGGTTGTTTGCATTTGGTATAGTTGGGAACGAACAGACTCACCCCAGAAGCTGACAGAAACACATGAGAAGATCCAGAATGCTGTTTTCTTTGCCTCCCAGACTGACCTCAGAAGCTGATCTCCATCACTTCTCCAAGGGACGAGTCCCCAACCGGACGGATTGGGGTGGGCCCACCGGATCGGCGTGGGACGACACCCGCGGATCGGCCACACCTGTGGTAGATGTGCTTTCCGACCGTCGAGTTACTAGACCACATTTCAGGTGAACCTGGGTCAGGTCGAGAAGAGATCGCTTCAACTGCCATCAAATCTGCCAGGTTGACCTCCTTGAAGGTTCCAGGTCATTTTGCTCATCTTGGCTGTAGCCAGGCCACTCAGAAAGGGACCAAGTAAGGATACCAAGCGGGATCTGAAGAAGAAATCCCTCCATCATTTGGCCATTCAACTTTCCAGCAACTGAGCGAGGACTCCGTGGTCCTTCTCCTGAGCTGTACTCCTCGCATGGGCCGTGCCTCTCTGCAAAGCGGGTCTTGCACACGGCGGAGAGAGCAAACTGTAGATGTTTGTGCTCGGGAGCTTGCTGTAGATGTTTGTGGCCGGGCTGTGTCAGACTCAAAACCGGATCGAGTCGTTGATCTGTGCTTAGCCTCCAAACCCAAAGTTCAAAGGTTGTGATTTTTGCTCAGATAGATCGAATTAATCACATTCAGCATCATTCAACCCGACACTGACCCCATGTGATCTTGCGGCAATACTTACTCAGCTTGTTCTATCAAAGCAGCAGTTACAATTGCAACCTGTTGGCATGTTAAGTTCACATTTCCAACAGATGCTCCGATCCAAGCACCACTTTCTTTTTTTTTTGGTCTGGGGGCCCTGTAGAAGAGATGCGACGCCACCAACGGCCAAATGTGTGAGGCCATGTCTCGGAGCTGGGTTGGTTCCCAATGCATAATTCAACATAATTCAACCATCCCCGTAAAAGAGGTGAGGGAAGCCATTTTATTGCTATAACATGTGGAGTCCAGATCCACCATGGGAATTGCATGGAGGATATTCAACAATATTCAACATCATTCAACTTAGCCTTTTGACAGACCACAGTGACCACAGGGTGCCGCCTTCAGCACACCAGGTGATGATGCGATCGCTGGTGCCATTTGCATTGGTCAAGACATCACTCGCATGAAGGTGTGGAATTGCCTCGTTCTGGAAACGAACACATGGAAGTCGCGGGTGTTTGGATGTATGATGTTCTTTTGTTTTGGTGGGGTCCAAACATCGCTGCCACCATTCCCAGACACTCTGTATGGCATATTAGACCTACATTGGGGTGGTTTCAGGGATCAATGTACGTATTGTAAATATGCCATATATGAAGTGTTTGGGATTGATTCCGGGTCAGCTGTGGACAGCGCGGTCGCGGTGACATGCATCTTAACATGGTGACGGCCAGCACTTGGTCTTTGCTTGAATGATTTGTCGCCATGGCCATGTCAAACACACGGTCACAAGGTGTTCTTATTGATGTTGCAGCGCCGAGGTGATCGGCTTGAATCGGCTTGTTTTGTTGAGGGAAATCGGGTGGATGATGAAGGTCGGAAACTGGGACATTCTCGAATGGGACGACATGATATGGAATGATTCCACCATATTGAACCTGATTTTGAAAATAGTTTGTAATGTTCAGCAGGGCGGAGCCTCGGCTGTACACACGGAATTTGCTCGCCTGTACACGTGCTTGGATTTGCTCGGTTGTGCACGCCGCTTTGCTCTGCTGTATGCATGCATGCAGGAAGGAAGGAAGGAAGCAATTAGCAAAAAGAGATCATCATGTAGATGAATGTCCAGAGGGACGTTACACGAGCATGTGTGTGGAGACCTGACCCAACGACACATCATGAAAGAATGACATATCGTGTACACATCACATCAAACCAATTTGTGTGTGTGCGCAGGTGAGCGAAATCTGTGTGCGCAGGTGAGTTTGAGGTATCAGGCACAGTTTGGACAAGGATGAAATCGATGTGTGCACAGGTGAGCGGATCCTGTGTGCGCAGGTGAGTTACTTGTATCAAGACATGCTGTGTGTATAGCTGAGCGAATCTTGCGTGCGCAAGTGAGGCGCCGTCCTAGTGGGGGTCACAACTCGGGACTGTCGTGTTGTTTTTTTGTGTGTCGAAGGTGTTCCAAGAAGGGGTAAGATGTATCTCGGCCAGTCCGCTCGTCAAATTAGAAGAACCGAGCCAAGAGTTCATGAACCGGCAGGACAAACAGGACAAACACCCCCTCCCAGCTCCCAGATTCCATTCGATTCTGTAAATTTGAGATAGCTTCACCAGCGAGGCCAGCGAAGCCTCATCCGCTGCCGAAGCCAAAGCATCAAACAGCATCAAGTTGACAGGTCATTTCTGACTTGCATCTTCACCCCGCAAGGACCTCACTTCTCAAGATATTATGATACCCGTTGCTTCTCTCCTTCCAAAGAGCTGTGCCGGTGTGCCCCCAAATAGGAAGCAACACTCCTTCGAAGTCACAGTTCGAAGTCTTTGACGATCACATACCGCTTCATACCGCATACCGCGATGCTCAAATCCCAAATCACTCATTCTTGTGGACTCTTGGTGGGCTCCGCCAACCATTCAACCAGGGGATCCGGGATCGACCGATTTGGTAGCTGCACTGCAGCCGCCCCGTGCGGCGCCAGGAGTTGGATGTGAAGAGGTCCAACATCGCAGCCACCGTGACGCATGAGCTGAGGCGAACTCGCAGAGCTGCGCGAGAACGGCCGGCGGGTGGTGGATGATGGGGGGAGTGGAAGGGGGGGAAGTGGAAGGGGGGACTGGTGCGGTCTTGGACACCTCCTTTTAATGGAGTTTGAGGACGGCCGTTGACAAAAAAGGTAGAAAGTATATGAACGTTTACTGCATTCTTTTCTGCATGTGTGAGCATTTCATAGCATTTCCTGGAATTCCCGGAATCTTCCTTTTGGCTCGGACCAATCAATCATTTATATAAACATATTTAAACCACGCATCCTTCAAAATTATAGAAGCACGGCTTCCAGATCCCAGCCACAACATATTTCAAAGTAGCATCAAACATCATGACTTACTACAAATCACTTCAACGGATCACTGATCGATGTGCTTGTTTGAACGAAGCCCCCCTCTCCCGTCCTTGCAAGACTCTTGTGCACCTCACGAGCCATCGGTCTTTGACTGGGCCAGGTCGCCCCTGCATGGCATCATTGGTTTGAGTGAACAGCTGGTCTCCACAGGCGCTAGCGGCTGTGGCCCGAGAACGGAGTGGGGGAGATAGCAGGAAGCAAAGACAAGATGCATGTGACGCAGATGCTGTTGTTAAAGGCGGCCAGCCTCACAGAACTAAACAAAAGAGGGAAACTGTGTGGCATATCACTTTTTGGTTCATTTACAGCTGGTACAACAGGGCAAAACATGTATGGACTTGTGAAGATTAGCAGCTTCATGACACGTGGTTCGTCAGACTATTTTCTTCTACTCACTACATATATATATATATAAATAAATATATATAGGTGGTTGATGGTGGTTGCGCCACTTGTGTTTTGGGAGAGCGTGTGTAAAGTATGGCTATTTTATGCTATGTGTTCAATGTGTTTGTTGGGGTTGCAGCCAGTGGACTCAGTGACTCAGTGGGCAGTCTTAATGGCAATCTGTGTCTCGAGCCCCTGAGTGTCAGGCCAATGATGGGTTGGTTGCATTCGATGAGTTCGGAGCGGTTCCAACCGCGATGGCTTCTGCATTCCCACACACATTGTTTCTGGATCCTGTGCTCTCAACTCATCCAAGAAGCAGGGTATCCGGGTATCCGCTTCATTCAGTTTCTAGGTCACTTACCACTCCCAACTTACGATAGCTACTCGCCAGGGGAGAAAAAGGTATACCGAGTAGGCAGGTACGATGCATGCAGGTGCTGATGCACGGCAAAAGCGGCAACTGAAGATGCAGGGAGCCAAGGGACCTGGGTGAATTCGGACCTGCAGGGCCCAGGTCCTGCACTAAGCGGGGAGTTGCCGGGTTATCGGGCATCCTAGAATCCAGGGCGCCAAGGACAAGGAGTTAGTCTCAATACTTTATATATTCAGTTTTAAACATACCTTGCATAATGTTGGATCCTGATTAGTAAAGGGGGGCTCCCCCCCCTCCCTCAAACAAATAGGGGACCTTCTAGAATAAACTACCACCAAAACAAATCTGGATTCCTAGGAGGAATCCTTTTTGTAATTGATTGTAGTATTAATTTTCCTTTCTCTCTTTGAGTAGTAGTAGTTGTAGTAGTAGTAGTAGTTGTAGTAGTAGTAGTAGTGGCAGTAGTAGTCGTCGTACTATAGTAGTAGTAGTAATAATAGTAGTAGTAGTCGTAGTCGTCGTCGTAGTAGTAGTAGTTGTTGTTGTAGTAGTAGTAATCGTAGTTGTAGTTGTAGTAGCAGTAGCAGTAGTAGGAGTAGCGGCAGCAGTAGCAGCAGCAGTGTAGTAGTAGTAGTAGTAGTAGTAGTAGTAGTAGTAGTAGTAGTAGT